AGGAACACCCCGTGCAGGAGGCACACTAGATAGTGGCGGTGCATAATAATGCTCCTGGGATCTAGAAGGAGCTAGAACACCGCTGGAGGCTGGAAGAGCTGAATGAACAAGGCGGCTCACATAACCCATACCATGGCGAGCTGCTGGGGCACGAGCTCCCGAATAATAACCAACCTCTCGAGACCTCTTGTCCTCCCTGTCCTCTCTATCCCGGGCAAACATTCCCTCGAATCTCCTGGCAATACCCACAACATGCTGATAAGAAATATCCATCTCCAATTCCCTGGCCATACTACTCCGGATGCTAGGATGGAGACCCTCAATAAACCGTTGAACCCTCTCTCGAACTGTGGCAACTAAGGCCGGTGATGTCAGGACAAATCACTGAAGCAAACTACATACTCTGACACAGTCATAGCACCCTGGCACAGCTGCTCAAACTCCACGCGCCATGAGTCCCCGAGGCTCTGAGGGACATACTCTCTCAAAAACATGTCCGAGAACTGAGTCCATATAAGTGAAGCTGCCTCAGTTGGACTACTCAACTCATAAGCACGCCACCACTGATAGGCTGCTCCACTAAGCTGGAATGTGGTAAAAGAAACCCCGCTCATCTCCGCTACGCCCATAGTACGGAGAATACGATGACACTCCTCCAGGAAACTCTAAGCATCATCTGTAGCCAATCCGCTGAAGGTAGGTTAGTGGTACTTCTTGTACCTCTCAAGTCTGAGTTGTTCCGCTTCGGAAGCTGCTGCCCCAACCTCGGGCTGAGCTGGAGCTACCGGCTGTATTGGTACAATCTATGGAACCTGGTCGACCTGAGCCCGCTGCTCTGGAGTACCGGCAATGGGAGTCTGTGCTCCTCATCCGGCTTGAGATGTGGCAGGAGCAAGTGGAATCAATCCAACATAAGCTAAGGTACTGAACATGCTCAGAAACAGGGCTAGAGTCTCCTAGAAGACTGGTGTAGGAACAGATATCTCAGGTGTCTGCCCTCCAGTTTGAGCTACTGGAGGCTCCTCTGTAGCAGCTCGTGCAGGTGCTCTGGCTGCACCACATGGACGTCCTCGGCCACTACCCCTGCCCCGACCTCTCGCGGATCTAGCAGGGGGCGCAGGTACCTGTTCATCAGATCCGCTTGTACGTGTACTCACCATCTGTGAGAGAATAGAATTCAGAAGTTTAGAATCTTTGAAGTCAACAATTTTCGCACGACAAGGAATCAAAGTAGTGAAATTTTCTTAACAGTTTCATAGCCTCCCAAAGATAAGTACAGACGTACCGATCCGCAAGACTCTACTAAATCGGCTTGTGACTCATGACACCTACAAACCTAGAGTATTGATACCAACTTGTCACGACCCAAATTTTCCCTCCGTATAACGCCATGATGACACCTAGTCTCTACGACTAGATAAGCCTAACATTCGCAGAATAATAAAATGAAAACAAAATTTTAACACCCAACTGTTCAAAAATACACAGCAAATCCCAAAACCCGGAACATAGTGAATCACAACCTACAGAAGAAAAAATCTAGTGTCTCTATATATCAGAATTCTAACAAGGAAAATACAGAAGATAATGGACATAAGAAAGAGTATAAGGGGACTCTGAGGTCTACGGACGCGACAGATATACCTTGAAGTCTCCAAAGCTGTCCCGGCTCACTGATTGTGCGGCTGATAAGGTGCACCTAGATCTGCACACGAAAAACATATGCAGAGAGTAGCATTAGTACACCACAATCAGTACCCAGTAAGTGCCAAGCCTAACCTCGATCGAGTAGTGATGAGGTCAGGTCAAGGCCCTACTGATAATTATATAATAAAACAATATAGAGTGTAATACCGCAATAAAATAAAAGCTGAAATTTAACAACAATGGAATCATAGAAGGTAACAGCTCAGTACATAGAAACACAACAGGGGATCTCCCGAGATACCGTCTCGTAGTCCCAAACGTAAATGAGCAGGGGGATCTCCCGGAATACCGTTCCATAGTCCCAAAGTAAATGTGTAGGGAAATCTCCCGGAATACCATTCTGTAGTCCCAACGTAAATGTGCAGGGGAATCTTCTGGAATACCGTTCCGTAGTCCCAAAGTAAATATGCAGGGAAATCTTCCGGAATACCGTTCCGTAGTCCCAAAGTAAATATGCAGCGCGAGTGATAGAAATATAACTACATCACGAAATTCTTACAATTTAGACTAAGTACCAGTCAGGGAAGAAGCTGGAAAATTCACTAAGCATGCTGCACATAATTCACATAAACAATTAAGACACGTAGACATGTTGTATTAGACTAAACATGATAGCTATATATATTGGAATAACTCAATTAAGAATGAAAATAGATTAGTTTTCATTAAAATAGTATAACTCAAAATAACAGGAAAACATGTTGTTGCTCGGCAAGAAAATAGGGTTTTACCACAACTAGCCCGTGTACGTACTCGTCACCTGATGTACACGGCGCTCACATAGCACAATAGTTTCAAATCTTAAGGGGATTTCCCCCACGCAAAGTTAGGCAAGCCACTTACCTCGAACCAAGCTCAATCAATCGGTCACAATGCCTTTTTCACGAGTATCCATCTCCGAATGGCCCAAATCTAGCCAAAAGCAATTACATATCATAAATACAACAATAATAGACTCATCTAATTAACGAAATCAACATTTTAACAAAAATTCCGAAATTAACTCAAAATCGTCTATGGGGCCCACGTCTTGGAACCCAACAAAAGTTACAGAATATGAACGCCCATCCAACCACGAGTCCAACCATACAAATTTTATCAAAATTCGACATCAACTCGAACCTCAAATCTTCAATTAAAGTCTATAAAGATTTGAACCATTTTCAACCCAATCTTTACCCATTTGAACTTAATAATCTTTCCACAACCTTATTGGCATGTATACATAATACTCTTACACCCAATAATCATACTATTAATCACCCATCTTTACTCCAAACCCGAAATTGAAGAATTGAGGAAAGAAATTCTTACCTCTTTGAAGCCCTAGCAAGATCCTTGTGAAATCTTCAAACCTTGAACAAGAATTGATGGATAAATGACTAAGTTTTCACTCTCTCTCTCTCTAAAATGCTCTCACCTCTCTCTAAAATATCATATTTTGGCTAAAAATGAGCTCCAAGGGCTATAAATCGAAATTGGGTCGGGTCAAAAATTAGAAAGAATGGAAGCTCCGGCGCAGTTATGCGATCGCATAACAGGTATGCGGTCCGCATACCTGTTATGCATAATTTGGTCTCCAAAGCTGGGCGTTACTGACCCGGTCTGCGGTCATTATGCGGTCCGCATACTTGTTCTGCGGTCGCATAATGCACCGCAAAATAGGTCTGCGGTCGCATAGTGCACCGCAGATTTTCCTCAAATCTTGCCCCTCTACTGATCCACTTTGCGACCATTATGCGGTCCGCAGAGTGATTCTACGACCGCATAGTGGTCACAGAAATGACCATTTTCCGATAAAATTTTCCTTTACACATCGGTGCATTGTTCAACCCAAAAAGTCTGAGCCGCGGCGAGCTTGATATCTATAATCTTTGTACTAATTGATCCACCTCGGCACTACCAAACCTTAATTTCCTTAGCAAAAATTTCTCCGGGTTCGTTACACATAAGTCAACATCTGGTTAACCTTTTCAACTTAAATTCTAAACCTTGGAACTAAGTGCTCCAAATCATTTCAAAACCTCACCGGACCCAAACCAATTATCCCGGCAAGCCAAATAACAACTATAATTCATAATTTGAGCAGTAAATGGGGAAACGGGATTATAATACTCAAAACAGCCGGCCGGGTCGTTACAACTGGCCTCGGCGTCACCTTCTGATATTGTAATTGTATTGTTTAATTCTATTCCGAATAGTTTTATTTAGGGATTTTCTAGCAAACTCAGTAGAGCTTATGACTTGTACTACTGGTTTTGGGGTATTGCATTGCACCAAGGATCATTGGTTTTACTATAAAAATTTCAGTTTCATACTTCGTAGTTGTTCTGGTTAAATTATATCTTTAATTTAGTAAGTGATAGGATTACCTAGTCTTAGAGACTAGGTACCGTCACGATATCCTACCGGAGAAAATTTGGATAGTGACTATTACTAACATAAAGAATATATAGAGCACACATGCATCGCCGAACAAATATATAGCACGCTTAGCCCAATTAAGTTTAAGCGATTTATTTTGTTAAATCTTTTACTGAGTTAAAAAACACTAAGTGAGTACGCAATAAAATGTCATGGAAAGATTTCTACATAAGCACATAAAAGTGTGTTGTTTTTGTTTTTTTTTTTGGGTGTGGTAGGTTACAAGCGTACAAAACTTATGATCAAATCATCAAATTCTGAAAGTTTCACTTGTAAGAGAAAACAATATTCAGACATGCAAGGCTAGAAGAGGTAGATTTTTATAAATATCTTAGTTGTAATTTTGTTCTTTAGCGTATACCTTATCTAGCCGTTCATGGACATGTAAGGTTAGAAACGCGATAGCCTTTGTTTCTTGATACTTTCATGTTTGTTTCTCTCTTTTTTAATGCATGAAAAGAATAAGAACAATCAGCCGCGTGCTTCACGTGTGTACTACGTACCATTGCCTGTTTTGTATAAATAGTTTGAAACCTTTCACTGCAAAAGCACTCATCCCAGCAATGGCTTCTTCTTCTACTCTACCTTTATGCACCAGCAAAACTCTCTTTTCTTCCTTCACCAACTCATCTTTCTTTGCAAAACCCTCCCAGCATTTCCTCCATGGAAAACGTAACCAATGTTTCAAGGTTTCATGCACGGGCGAGCATGACGGAAACCAACTTGACGCCATTAAAGAAGGAGCTGTTGACAGAAGGAATGTCCTTTTGGGTTTAGGAGGGCTGTATGGCGCAGCTAATCTTGCGCCATTAGCCTCTGCTGCTCCCGTACCACCCCCCGATCAAAAATCATGTGGCACGGCCACGATAACGGATGGTCCAGCTGTACCATATAGTTGTTGCCCCCCTAAACCAGATGATATGGACAGCGTTCCATATTACAAGATCCCTCGCATGTCCAAGCTTCGTAAGCGGCCCGCTGCCCAAAACGTGACTGAGGAGTATATAGCCAAGTACCAGTTAGCCACTAGTAAAATGAAGGAATTAGACAAAGACCAATTTGATCCTCTTGGCTTCAAGCAACAAGCTAATATCCATTGTGCTTATTGCAACAATGCTTACACAATGGGTGACCAAAAGTTACAAGTTCACGAATCTTGGCTTTTCTTCCCATTTCATAGATGGTACTTGTACTTCTACGAGAGAATCTTGGGCTCCCTCATCGATGATCCAACTTTTGCTTTGCCATATTGGAACTGGGACCATCCAAGCGGCATGCGTTTGCCTCCTATGTTCGATGTCGAAGGTTCTTCCCTGTACGATGCAAGACGTAATCCACAAGTCCGTAATGGAACCATAATCGATCTTGGTTTTTTCGGTGATGAAGTCAAAACTAATGAAATACAGATGATAACTAACAACTTAATTCTAATGTATCGTCAAATGATAACTAATGCTCCATGCCCGCTGTTGTTCTTCGGAGAGCCTTACAGATTCGGATCTAAACCCAATCCGGGGCAGGGAACCATTGAAAACATCCCTCATACTCCAGTCCACATTTGGACTGGTACTGTGCGGGATACGGATTTGGGTAATGGTGTGAAATCATACGGTGAGGATATGGGTAATTTCTACTCAGCTGGTTTAGATCCAGTTTTTTACTGCCACCACGCCAATGTGGACCGCATGTGGAATGAATGGAAAGCACTAGGAGGGAAAAGAAGGGATCTCACAGACAATGATTGGTTAAACTCGGAGTTCTTTTTCTACGATGAAAACCGCGACCCATGGCGTGTGAAAGTCCGAGACTGTTTGGACAGTAAGAAGATGGGGTATGATTACGAACCAACATCCACACCATGGCGTAACTTTAAGCCAGGGAAAAAGAGCACAGAGGGCAAGGTGAATCTAAGTTCAATTAAGCCAGCCAGCAAGGTATTCCCACTCTCAAATCTGGACAGAGCCATTTGCTTTAGTATAGAGAGGCCAGCTACATCAAGGAGTCAGCAGGAGAAAGATGAATTCGAGGAGATCCTAACATTCAAGGGTGTAAAGTATGATGATAGCAAGTATATAAGGTTTGATGTGTTCCTCAATGCAGACAAGACTGTGAATGCAGATGACATTAACAAGAGAGAGTATGCAGGGAGCTATACCAGCTTGCCACATGTTCATGGACCTAATAATGCCACTCATGAGTTTAAACCAAAAGAATTCAATCTAGCCATCACTGAACT